CTAACAGTTAAGTCTGGAAATCACCTAATCCCAAATCACTTCTTCAAAAAAAATTCTGACTTGACTTTGGTAAGTGCTACTACCACTGAAATGAAGGGAATGACTGCAGGAAGGCAGAGCTGAAAGCAGAGAGAGAATACAAAATTACGTGGTGATCCAAATAAAGATGAAGTGACAACGAGTTCCGAAAGTAATAACAATGATTCAGAGAAAAATGGACATATCCAAATGAGTATTTAAATCACATCTAGCTGACTTATTTTCTGTGTCTGCTGTGGGGGGCGATGGGGAAACTGACCTGCACATTACAGGTAACGCTGATGGCACAGCGTACAGGGCTAAGACAGAGAGGCTTGTTTTGTTCAGATGATGAGTAAGACACGGGAAAGACAGTAAGTTCAATCACGAACCTGCTGAACTTGAGATGGCTGTATAACATTCCAGTTGAAATTGTTAGAATTGCACTTCAGCTGTCAAATGAAGGAAAAAACTCATGCACAGAGTAGGTAGGAGAAACACAAGCTTTTAAAAAACAGACAAGAGAAAAAGGTTTTCAAAGCAAATTTTAAACATCTAGAGGCTAAGGAGACCAGGAAAAAAAAAAGTTTCTGTGATGTCTTTATAACTACGGGGAGAGAAAATTTTTAGAAGGAGGTGGCAGTAAATCATATTAAATGTTACTGAACTAGAAAGAAAGATTAAGTAAGAATAATTGAGCTGAAAGATTTTTCACACAATTTTGCCTCTAGCCCTGCATTCTAATTCCACCCCTTACATTCACTAGTATACTCACAATGTACTTGCTTCTCTGACACCAAGAAAAAGATGTCATAATGGAAACTCCATGAAATTCTCAGAAAGTCTCATGCTAACTAAATCCTTCCCAAACTCCATCCCACTTGCATATTCTACTAAGGCATCACACCCTGCCCTGGACTGTGGCTCTTGGACTTTCTGGCTTTTCATCACAGGCAACTGTTTCACAGGTACCACTGTGGGGACAAGAAGCTAGAATAAAAATCGAGAGAAGCAGCCCCACGCAGGTGGTAGCCTGTTGGCCAAAGTCTCGCCTTGAGCCAGGATCCCATATGGGTGCTGGGTCATGTCCCAGCTGCTCCACTTCCCTTCCAGCTCCCTGTTTGTGGCGTGGGAAAACAGTAAGGATGGCCCAAAGCCTTGGGAATAATCAGCCCAGCTCCAGAAGTTGTGGCAACTTGAGGAGTGAACCAGTAGATGGAAGATCTTTGTCTCTCCTTCTCTGTAAATCTTTCTAATAAAAATAAATAAACCTTTTTTTTTAAAAAAAAAAAAAAGACATATTCCAAAAACATTATGAAGATAAAATGTCCACTGGATTTCTGAAGAGCTGAAATTAAATTAGCCACTCTTCAAATTTCCTAATAACTTATTTTTTACCATGCCAAATTCACCGAAGTGGCAAAGCCTTGCCTCATATCAATATACTAAATTATTTCACAAACCCATTTATCTTCACAATAATACCCAGGAGTGCAGAAGTTGTGTTATGAATTGCTCTTCCCACATTTGCCCTGTTGTGCTTGGCCTGTGCCTAGGATTTCTATAAATATTTGCTGGATGTTGTGTATTCAGAGCATTGAACTGTGAACCTGCTCAAAAGTAATTTTTAGGTTTCCCTTACCAGTCCAATTCCCAGAGTACAGAAATTGCTAACAGATTTGCAAAGCTTCCTTCAGTGCATCAAGAATGCTCAGGAAGAATGTTTGCTCAGCCTCTCTAGTGCCAGAGGTAATACTCTAAAGCAAGTCTCATTTGACAAAATCCAGGCACACTGAAGAGATTTACTGAAATTGTTTTTTGTAAATTGAGTATCACCCTCATATTTATTTCTTCATAAAAACCATTTACAGTAGGATCTTACGGTTAAGTTCCTAAAATAAACATAAAATTGCATTTATTTCTATTTGTGTATGAGGGAGAATTTAGCACTTTTCTAAAATGCTGTTTCTAATTGGTGTGGTGGATATCATATTCATTTCCAAGAAAAGGAAAGGAATTTTTCTAAAATGGTAAGCTGTCTTGCCAATAAGTAAAGATTTCCTCTCTTGGAATAGCATGAGCTTTTCCTTCCCAAATCTATATGCCATGTTTATGAGTGATCCACAACTGAGTAAAGTCCTAGCCAGTCACTTAATTTATGATCCAACAAACATTTCAAATTACTGGAAAAAATTTCTGATTGTTTTCCTGACTACTCCATAAATCAAGGATAAATTGTCCTTTCGAAGTCAAGCTTAATAATGTAACCCAAAATAAGGAAGTTCTTGAATTCAAAGGTTTAAAGTACAAGTTCTAAAACAACATAAATTGACAGTACTGAAATTACTGGAGAATGTCTTAAAAATATGCTTACAGAAACAATCCCCCCAAAATTTTGATTTGATAGATGGGTAATCTTTGTTTTAGGTATGGAATAACCAGGTAGGAACTTCTTCTTTAAAAATAAATATTCAATTATCAATCATTTTGTTATGAGAGTACTTAGTACTCACTATAAATTTTTTACCAGAATTTTCAATTATATAATTATTCAAATACTAACCTAATTTTTCATGTCCCTATAACTTTTTTAAAAAAAGATTTATTTATTTTTATTGGAATGGCAGATATATAGAGAGGAGGAGAGACAGAGAGGAAGATCTTCCATCAGCTGCAACAGATGGAGCTGAGCCAATCCAAAGCCAGAAGCCAGGAGCTTCTTCCCGGTCTTCCACGTGGGTGCAGGGTCCCAAAGTTTTCAGCCAACTTTGCTTTCCCAGGCCACAAGCAGGGAGTTGGATTGGTAGCAGGGCCTGCCAGGATTCAAACCAACGCCCATATGGGATCCTGGTGTGCTCAAGGTGAGGACTTTAACTGCTACGCTATTGTGCCAGGCCCCCATATAAACTTTTGATAATAAATGTAGTTCCTAAGATGTCACTTTGAAAAGTGAATCACAAAAATAAAGGCAGACCAATTAAACCTTACCAAAATTAGATGAATAGCACACATAGATAAATATTCTAAAACAACAACAGGAACAGGCAGAATGACACTGTCAAAAATAAAATGAAATAAAAAAGAATGTATGCAGATGCCACTTTCTGGTCAATGGGAGGATAATCAGCTAATTTTCTGGGGCATCAATTTTTTAAATCCATAAAATGAGAAGAGTTTACAAAATTACTTGTAGTACACCTTTTTAAATGAAAGATTTAGTTAGACAGAATGCTGGAATATAAACTAGACGTCATGAACGCTGAATCAGTTACAGCCACTATCAGAAAAACAACTACCTGTTAAAACCTCACAGCAAATCAACTAGGCAAACGAAACTCAACAGTAAATTTCTCAGACTCATTTGCTCAGCTATGTTGAAGACCAAGGATTTAAATCATGTGGTGCATGTTTAATGAATATATAAACTGGGACTGCCTAATGCATCTTAGGTTTCATGAGGTAAAAGTTACAAGAAAATCCAGTCCTTATGTGGAATAACTATATTATAATGGAGGAAACAGACACAATGTCTGGGATCTGATGGCTGCTAAAACCATAGTATTACCCCTCCTCTCGAGTAAGCATATAGAATTCTTACTTTCCAGAAATGTTTGTGTTTACTGAATTTTCAAATTCAGGTGAACTTCATCTTAAACTTGAAAGTCATGCCACATTTTGTAATGGAAAAGGCTTATGACAACTACTCCCAAATGAGCTATTACCAGGAGAAAACTTGACTTGTTAGTACCATACATGTTCCTACATGCTCCTACAGAAATATACTTTGTATACAGAACTCTTAATAATGACAAATCATTAAAACATAGCAACTAATCAAATCAAAGTAGTTAGGACCACAGGTTCCAACTGTGAGCTTGACAGCTATACCAACTTTACAAAACAGAAATTCTCTGCTGGCAAACAACAGTTTATGAGCACACTATTTTTTCCATCAAAAACAATACCAAGTATGGTGTTCAAGCAAAATGATCTGCTTCTATTTCACTGCCAGCTAGTTACACAGATATTAACAAACTCTAATTAAGGGGGTGGGGGGAGGTAGTGTTGCTTTGGTCAACTAAAGACGCATGGCATGAAAGGGAAACCCTAGCCATGATTCTCTCTTACAGGAGTGCCGCTGAACTACGGGTGTGACACACAGGCTATACACATTCAGGAAAACATGAATGACAGCAGAGACCAAGAAACCTAACCCATGAGAAACCAACTCACTCAAATAAGGTAATTCAGCTACACTTCACTGCACGCACCAGTTGTAAGTACAATCATCACTAAAAACAGAAGACACAACACGGACTGGAGCATGTTCAAAAGGCCTGAATTCTCAACTTTTGAGAAATCAAAAAACCAGAAAAAGTTATTGCAATCTATGAAACAAGAAATCTGATATACAGGTTATTAAAATGAAAGAACACGGCTACTTGTTTGAATTGCACATGTGGATAGCAATTACATGAAAACATTGCATTCATGAATATGTTAACTTATGATAAGTCTATCTAAAACAAATGCCCGTTCACAAACATTGTCTTAATTCAAACTGACATTCTAGACACCTCGACTGCTGAATTCAGTCTACCGTGCTCAACTCTTTTCAGTGTGGAGGGAAAAACAAACAAACAAACAAAAAAACTACAAGCAGTCAATTTTCTCTCCGAAACTGAGTCACCATGGTTTTTTAAGAGAGTAAAGACATACAGGCAAGCAAATTATCCACGAACAGAAAAGTCACTCCAAGCTGCCAGCCTGTGCAGCCTAACACCTGGACTGTACGTGGCTCCGGCTCAGTTTCAGCCCCACCTCCACCGGCAAACTCGCGGAGGGGAAGGCGCGGCTGGTGGAGATCTCGTGCCCGTCCCGGGACCCCGAGAGCGATGACAGCTCGGGGGCTCGGACTGCGCCGCTGCCGCCTCCCCCTGCCCGCCCGACCGCGGGGCCCGTCTCCACTCCGACCTCCTCACCTCTCGGCCCGTTCAGGCGCAGCGCATCCCTGCCGCTCCACGCCTGCTTCCGCGCCGCCCACCCTTTCGGTTTTGACTTCCAGCACCGGTGAAGGGGCCGGCGACGTCAGCGGACAGCCGCACGCTTCGCGAACGGGGTCGCGTCCAGCCCAGGACCCCGAGCACCAACGCCGCGGTCCTGCCCGGCAGCCGGAGAGACGCGCCGTCGGGGCCGGGAGGGACGAGGCGGGGCCTAGCCGGCGCCGATCTCCACGTCACCCGCCCGCCGCGCCGCGACGTCGGCACGTCGTCTCTCCAAGGCCCCGCCCCGCCGCGTGCGCGCGCCGCAGGCTTCCGCTCCCGGCCGCGCGCTGAGGAGGGGCGGGCGCGCGCGCCGTGCTCGCGCTGGCTGCCTCAGAGCCTTTTCCCGCGAATTCTTCTGTCAGCCAGGTCCTTGACGTCGTTGGAGGAGTATGTGGCAGAGTTTCTGTTGAAGAAGAGGGGAACAGTATAAGTGAGCAACACGGTAATTGCACTCTTCATCAGTAACGGTGACCCGCTGCCTGGTAGACCCCTGAACCCCGTCTCTCATGTGAAGTTTTAGGAGCTCACAGGGTAGTTTTAAAGTTAGCTCTGCCACTTGGCGCTTAGGTTGGAGAACACTAACTGAAAACAAAATGCCTGAAAGGTTACCCTAGCTCCATTGGAAAAGGAAAAAAAAAAAAAAAACAGAGACTTAACCCAAAGAAGTGTGTGAGGTGCTTTTCTCGAGTTTTCGATGGAAGCCAAGGACGCATGAGTTAACACAGCATCCCGAAGCTTCTCACAGTGCGTGCGGATACCTGGCGCTGTACAGTTAGCCACAACCTTCGCTGGCCTGCCCCAGCTGAAGGGCCATGTTCAACTCTACATTGAGCTCTTAAAAAACACCTCAGTCCAATTAGAACTATTTCACAGATAAGCAAAATAATGAACTTTCAAACTTGAGAAATAAAGGATGGGTGATGAAACATAGAATTCAGCCAGAGGAAATAGCTCTGGACTACGTCCAAATAGGGAAAGACCCATAGTGTAAAGCAAGTTTGTCTCAGGTGACACAAACTTCAAGGAAACAGATTTCAGGGCCTGAAAGAAAGGTCCTCTCGGAACACTGAGGGAAGAAGTTGCCTGTGTTAACATATGTGAATATCTGTAAGTGCATTTAACTTCAAGCCAATTCTGAATGCTCATTTAGTAGGAACTTCATACAGGGGAGCCTGCCATCAGGGAGAGAATTAGTTGTTGGTTCTGATAAAGTTGTTTCTAACCTGGAGATGCAGATTACCTAATAAGACAAATGACACTAAAAATAACTACTACAAGGAGTATGATAGTGAGAGACTAACAATAAGTGCCATGATGTCACATGACACATTGTGTCCTTCACAGTTCCAGAGTCTTAGTGGAGAAGAAAGAAATTGGAAATAGTCTTGTGTGATGCATGCTAGCCAAATGTGCTGTGAGTGTTTGAAATGTGGCTTGTCCAAGTTGATACAAGCAAACAGTGCACAATGTGTCAGATTTCAAATAATTAGTGAATAAACAAATATAAGTATCTTTAGTCTTACATTGACTAGAGAGTAATGTAGTATTTGCATATATTGGTCTTTAAAATTTTAAAATCATGTAGTACATACATTTAAATTATACCTGTTTTTATTATTTTTAGTTAACTATTAGGAAATTTAAATTACATAGGAAAAGTATCTGGTGTTTTTGACTGTCATGGTGTAGAAGAGCATACACTATCTTTGTCCTCTTTGCAGTCAAATATGGATTTTCTTCTTCACTGACTCATATAAAGGTCCTACACTAACATTTTCTTCAAGAAAGTTCTTGATTTTCTTTTTCATTTCTTCAGCAACACGTTGGTCAGTAGCTTGATATTTAACTTGATGGCATTGTAAATGAACTCCGAATGAAACTGTTAAGTGTACTTTTACAGTAGGATGCTAGACTCTCTGCCGTTGTCCACTGTCAAAATGCACATGAATAGCAGAGCAATGGACTTAGGACGGTTTTTGAAGGACTATGCTATTGTAATAATATAGAGGAAATCAGTGAGGGAAGAGAGGGATTTGAGGTGGGGGATAAGTGAAACCCCAGAGCCTATGAAGCTGTATCATAAAATAATTTAAAAATGAGAAAAATATGGATTTCCCAAATGTTAAAGAAAAGATGGTCTAAAAAAGATGACTCCTAATGCAGAGAAAAAATACCATCCTGAAAGTGTGCCTTCGGAAAGCTAGGAAACAAGACTATTGAAGCATTCTTTAATAGTGAGTAAACTTTGTCTGTAAGCAAAAATTCTTTTAAAGAAGAAAAAAAATTATGTATTTGAAAGGTGACAAAGAAGGGGAGAAACTGAGAGAGAAAGAGAAGGGGATCCTCTATTCATTGACTCAGTCCCCAAATGCCTACAATATCAAGTCCTGGGCCAGGCCAAAGCCAGGAGCCTAAAACTTCATCTGGGCCTCCCAGTAGGGTAGCAGGGGTCCAAGTATTTGGACCATCTTCTTCTACCTTTTCAGACACTTTAGCAGGGAGCTGCATTAAATGTGGAACAACCAGGGCAAAAAAAAATGTCATGCTCATACATATAGAATATTAGCACCTTAGACATTATCTTATCCCAGGGGGCCACAAAGCAGGCACCCTGGAAGATTCTTAATGAAAGGTACTAACAAAGTTAATGTATATAGTCTGTAACAAAATTCAGTTTTGAATTTAAGGAATTCTGTAATATGAGCAATCAGTATTTGGCAGTTACAAAAGAGTATCTTAGAAATAGTTGGTAATAATTGGTACAATTAATGAATGGCTGGGAAACTAATTAAAACTCATTACATTTAATAATTTTTTTAAGTTAACTAGGGAATTGAGGTAAATAAATTGTATCTCTAAAGTGGAATTCATATGCTGCTAAATGTAGAAAGGTTTGACTTAGAATATTTTTCAGCAGAGCAACATTAATTAGTAGAAATTATATTTTGAATTTTGTACCCTTCCTAGGATAACAATATCTAGTATGGTAAGTTTTCAAGATGCTGGTGGTGATAGTGAGCTGTAGCTCCCAACCATGTGACTATACAGGAAAATATCAGTCCTCTACAGTATTCCACGTTGCTAAATTATAATGTTGGATAAGTTAGTTTATCGAATGTATTTTTGTCTTACAATTTTTTCCACTTACTATAGGTATATTAAGATATTACCTTATGGCTAAATGAGGAACATCTGTACTTTATAGATATTTAGGAAGTATACAAGTACATATTGCTTGATGTAGAAATATATTCAATATATGAAGTTTAATGATATAGTTTGCAAAACAATACACATTGAACCTGTTTATGTAAAATAGTATGTTCTGCGTGTGTGTATCAAAACTGTCTCAAAACAGAAGATCCCAAGGTAGAAGTGTTTCTAAGCTAATTTCAGTGGCTCAGCAAAATCCTCTATGTCTTGGGCCGTTTTCATCTCTGAGTTCTGTTATCCTTAGTTACTTAGCTTCTCACTCTGAGGCTGGCCATTCTACGGCTTGTCCAGACAGGCTGCCAGATCATCTTCAGCCTTTCAGTCTCTTCAGTATGTATGACCTCAAGATCTGCTCCTTTTATCAGTGTTCTACAGCCTCAGCTTCTAGGCCTTTCTGGATTTGCCTATTGTCAATGAGTTACCTCCCACCTGCTCTGGCCTCATCCTGCAAAACTAACTGTTAAAATTCTATCTTTGCTGCAACTCTGTGTAGCTTGCTACTGGGGTCGATGTTGGACACCTGGGGAATGCTGATTAATCAGACTCAATTCTAAAATAAATTATTGTACCTTTTTAAAATGCATGATCTTGTGAAGAAGGTAGGAAGGTTAGATCTCTCCCTTGGCAGACATTGTTGGTTGATTACACAAGCACCATTTCTGTCCCCTTGCATAATCTTTTGTTTTTGTTATTTTTAAGTTTTTGTTTGAAAGGCAGAGTTTCAGAGAAAAAAAGGAGAGTAGGAGAGAAAGAAGATCTTCCATTTGCTGATTGACTTCCCAAATGTCCCCAGTAGCTAGAGCTGAGCCAATCTGAAGGCAGAAGGGAAGAGTTTTTCCCGGTTTCCCATGCAGGTGCAGAAACCCAAGGTCATGAGGCATGATCACGCTGCTCTCCCAGGTCCTAAGCAGGGGGCTGGGTCAGAAATGAAGTAGCTAAAACACAAACCTGCACCTGTGTAGATTCCAGCACAGTAGGTGGAGGTCCAGCCTACCACACCATGTCACCTGCCCCCCTTTTCTGGATTATTATGATTTTATTTGAGTGCCAAGCAACTAAAGCAAAGTGAACTCCCTTTACTCTAGGGGAAAAAACAATTTCCCTTTGAATAAGAACATTGCAGAAGTGGTCATATGAGCAGGAAACAACCAGCTGTGGAGTATGTTTTATATAGATCACAACATATAGGTTTACAATATAGAGAGTTCTTGAGTTACTGTTCATTATAATAAACAGGTTAAAAACATTTCTCTCCAGGAAAAATCCCAAAACACAATGACCTCTAAATTACTTGAGTAAGTAGTAAAAAGAAAATGAGAAAGCTTTTTGGACAGAAGATTAAAGCCATTCTCATTCTAGCATTTAGGGATCATTCTGGAATCCCAAGAGTCAGCTATTTGTTTATTCATCCTAAAATGAAACCTCTTGTTTGGCATTCCTGGCCTTGCACCAAATCCAGCCACATATTCACAATTCCTTCATGGGAAAGAGAACTGGCAGCTATCCAACTTACTTAAACAAACAAACAAAAACCTAAACAAGCTATCAATTTTTAAATACACACACACACACACACACACACACACACATACACACGAACTCAACAGTGGCCCAGCACGGTAGCCTAGTGGCTAAAGTCCCTTGCCTTGAGTGTTGGGATTCCATATAGATGCCAGTTCTAATCCCAGCAGCCCTGCTTCCCATCCAGCTCCCTGCCCATGGCCTGGGAAAGTAGTCAAGGACAGCCCTAAGTCTTGGGACCCTGCACCCACGTGGGACACCCAGAAGAAGTTCCAGGCTGCTGGCTTTGGATGGGTTTAGTTCCAACCATTGTGGACACTTAGGAAGTGAATTTTTTGACAGAAGATCTTCCTCTGTCTTTCCTCCTCTCTGTATATCTGACTTTGCAATACAAATAAAATAAAAT